ATGTTGCTGTTTGATGGCTGAGGGGTGTTTTGTTGTTGGACATACGCGACAACTAAGAAAATGGATTTCTTGTTTGAATACCGGTGGGAGCCTCTGGTCTTATATTTGTGTAATTCCAAACATCGTAGAAGCCAAAATACTGCCGGTAACTCTTGGGGGGGAAGGCACTCGGGCCGGACTCCCACATGCATCCCGTACGATTGCAGCTCCCCACCCAGCTCTGCAACCGAATCATATCCCCAGATCGATAAAGGGGCTGCAAACCCGCTTTGGGGCCAGATTCTTAAGCTTCGAGTCATTGTCCCATTAAATATTGGATTGATCCTATGAAACAAGCGACACTGGCATGCTATTATAACACATGCGACAGACACTGCGAGTCAGCGGTATAACATGACTGGCTGGTGGTCGTGTTAAATCAGAACAGAGCCCCAGTCTCAGGGTTTGAGTGGTATGGATAGTGAGATGTCATTCGTTCCTGTTATGAGTAAGTGACCTCTTACGGAGCCATGCAGATCTTGCTCACAAAGGACGATGGTATTTCATTCTGGCAACTGACATGAACCGGTGCCTCACCAGTCACTCGAGTGCCTCCTCATCCTGGGCCGACACCTCCGCTCGTCAACCGCCTTCCTGCCCCGTTGATAATCATAATAATCGTTATCACCATCCTTCCCGTGGCGCCGAGGCCTATCCTCGCCGTAGTAATCATCCTGATCATTCACGCTGCCCCTGCGGCGATCCCTCTCCCGCTCCCGATCATGGTCCCACGGCCCGCCCTCGCCCTTCTCCAGGCGATCCGCCCTGTTGAGACCCCCATCCCGCCCCGTCCTGCCGCCCCGATCACTCCCTCCATAGTCCTCTTCCCGGCTGTCCCACTCGTCCCGGTGCCGGCGGTCCGACCGCGACCGCAGCTCCGCACGCCTCCTCTCCCGCTTTCTCCTCCGCCGCGTCTCCTCGCTCTCGTCTCGCTGGTCCCGGTCCCAGTCGCGGCTCCCTTGTTCCCCCTGCTCGTCCTTCTTCTTCTCGAATTTCTCCACGTCCCGCGTGACGTCGTACGCAAGCGTCAGCCCTATGAGGCCCAGCACCACTGGCGGGACCCACCCGTACCCGTGTTCCTTCTCCAGCTGCTTGCGGCGCTGACGCTGCTCGGCGTTGGCTTTGGACGGCCGGGGGTCGGGCGGGAGGAGGTTTTTTGCCTTGACCATTTTGCCCCGGCGCTGGTTTTGTGGGTTTCTTCTTCTCTTTCCTTCCACCTGCTCTTGGCTTTTGTTGACCCTTTGTTCTTTCTTATTCAATTCCGGTATCGTGAGGATGAGATATATGTAGAAGCCTCTTGGCCTGAGGTGGACGGACGGGTAAGTGGAGTCGCTGTGGCTGTGGAGTCTCGGTGAGGAGAGACGTATGTACCCGTTGACGTGGTGTGGCGAAATATAGTAAAGTCGCTCAACGCAGTGAAATCATAAAGGTGGCGGAAAAGGTGGACTGTTGTATTGTTTTGATCTCGAGGAATGGAATTTGTGATCAGAATGTTTCAAATCGGTCGGATTCCAGCTTTGAATGTGGTCATCATCCAAAAGCCCCTAGCCTCAGTCGGAGGGAGAGGCAGCCACACCAGCTTATATCGTCACGGACAACCAACCCCCATGTCCATATTCCCGGGCCCTTCCCTTACCCATGACAAAAGCTGGGCGAGATAGATCAGAAATGCCCGCCCTGTCAAACTGATTCCCGACCCCACCGCCGCTTGCTAGTCTCAAAGGAGAGACAAGCGTCAACCAACGATCGGGGCCTCCCTCTAGCCGTTGCGTTAGCTCGCTAAGGATGTGTGTTGGGTGAGAGAAACAGCTGCGTTGGTCTCAAACAAGTGATGTCACCGGCATAATGAGGAGACGGCCTAGCCTCCTCAGAGGTGTGGGTGGTGAGCGACTACCCGGGCGGGCAGCGGGCGGTAGGCGTTACCAGTGGCCCCGGCCAGCATGCTAGCGCCAGGATACATACATGTCGCCAGGGGCCCCGGGAACGAGAATGACGTACCCCGGGACCCCGGGACAAGGCCCAGAACTAGCACGACATCTCCTCTGCCTGCATATTTGGGGCGAATTGACGCGAATTGAACAATAACTTGCGCCTAGCTGCGCAATACGTATGCAAACACACACACGCCCACACACATATAGGGAAGGATCAGGTACGATGCACGCACGCGATTCCTGTGAGACCCGAAATGCAGGCTATCCTTTGGTCTCGGGTGTCTCCAGACAGCTCGACAAGCCAGCCAGTCAGCTAATGCACGGGGTGCCCGCCTGACCTGCCTTGTGCAGCCCACCTGCGTCAGGCACTTTCTGCATCAACGCGCGCGCGGAATGGCTCCAAAGTACAAATTCGTCATTCGTGATAGGTACTGAAACGCGTCCGCAAGACCTTGGGGTTCAACCAGAGGGTCTAGGGTTGTTGTCATCGAGTCTCGCAACCCTCACACGTAGCTGGGCATCCTCAGGTGTTGTAACTCATCGAAAATCAAGGCTAAGCACAATTACTACCATATTCAGAACAATGTCTTCTGAAGGGACATCTAGAAGTGTGGCTTTCATAGCACCTCCCCATTTCAAAGAATCAGTGTTCCACGCATCATCAGTCAGCTAGAAATGTAATGAAACGATGCAGAGTCTGGGCCCAGGGACTGCCAGTGGTTCCTTGCATCCAACTCAGTAACGATCACCAGAAAAAGACTAATGCTGTAGGGTCGAGGAGGGTTAAGGTGATGTTAGGTGTGGGTGGAGGATAGTGTGCGAGTTTGTATGCATTCAGTCGGACAAGTGGTTGAGGTTTCTGAAAATCTGAGCATCACTGAGCTCGGGTGGCTCGCAATACTCAAATAGAAGTTTCACTATCCAAGTGCTGATAAATCCGGTTGGAACAGCGATCATTGGCTCTTGTGGGTGATTACCTCTACAAGCACCCCCAGATTCAAGTGCACCTCCAAACCTAGAACAACTTGAAATGCCGGACCTGCTCGGGAGTGTACAATCGTCAATCACTGGGCTGTACGCACCTCGGCTGAATCTACCCATTCATAAGCTTGATCTACTTTGAGGAAACGGTCAAGCACTGGGAACCGAAACATGAGGCTCTGGATGATGGCAATGGTAGGAGTTTCGCCGCCCATAGTGGTGTGGTGCTATCAGATGTGATGTACATATACTGTAAATGTACGAGACGGCGAGTGGAAAAGTTCAGTCTTCCTAGGTACCTAGTTATTTTTATACACCCCATACGAAATTTTCTACAGGAGAGTATTCTATCAGAGAGTATTCTATGGGAAGTTAGTCTATAGGAAGGTATTCTATTAGAAGGTGTTCTAAAGGAGGCTGTTCTACAAGTAGTTATACTACAGGAGTTTATCCTATAGGAGGTTGTTCTATAGGAGGTTGTTCTATAGGAGGTTGTCCTGTTAGGAGGTTGTCCTATAGGAGGTTATCCTATGGGAGGTTGTTCTATAGGAGGTCGTTCCATAGGAGGATGTCCTAAAGGAGAGTGTCTTATAGGAGGGTGTCTTATAAGAGGTTATCTTATGGGAGGTTGTGCCAAAGGAGGTTATTCTATAGAAGGATGTTCTATGAGAGGATCTCTTGTTAGGAGGTTGTCTTATGGGAGGTTATCCTATGGGAGGTTATCCTATGGGAGGTTATCCTATGGGAGGTTGTCCTATGGGAGGTTGTTCTATAGGAGGTTGTTTTATGGGAGGATCTCTTATTAGGAGGTTGTCCTATAGGAGCTTGTCACATGGAAGATTATTCTGTAGGAGGTTGAGCAGTTACTTGTGTAGTTCATTAGGTAAGTACCTAGGTATACATTTATACTATGGCTGTGTAGCGGCACCTGAGCAGAGCTTGTACTGCATTTAAATGTAATGGTAAGTTGACTCTCTTTTTATTAAACAATTCTATGGAGCCCGTGTTTATCTTAAATAGACCACTAATTTTAGAAGCCGCCATGCACCCTAATATAAGGATCTCTACTTTAATTAAGGCATACTGTTAGACATCCCAGGGCTTGCTACATAGTAGAAATGCACGTTATACGTGCCGATATATGCTTTGACGTGATTATAATAATCTTGGAGTAAAACAGAGGTAAGTTAGACAGAGATGATATCTCGCTTGCCTATTATTTTAGGCAAACCGGGCTACATAAGTACTGTGTAGGTGTGACTGGCAGTGGTGAGTAGCAGCACTAATTAGACCTTTTATGCAGACGACCTATAGCGATAATGGGGCCCTTGGCTTTTAAGACCTTGTTGAGACGGTCCTCGCTTCGAATTGGCAAAGGCACAAACCGATTTCGAGGAATTGTTGATTTACAGCTATAGTTACCTAACTAAAAAAAAGAAAAGGGCAGCAGAGCTGCGAAATGGTGTCGCTGGGATATTGGAGGCCATTGGGCTGATAAGATAAGCGAATACGTGGGTCCAGTCGAGTGACTGGGCCTGGCGTGCATTCAGCCCACGGCCCTGACACTTGTGGCTAATAATTATAGTAATCCTTCCCTCTCCTCCCTTTTCTTACTTAGATAAAGAAGATATTAATTAAGTTTTATAAACCTAAATAATATTTTAGATTAATAATTATTATAAGTCTCTTTTTAAGACCTAATATATATTTAAATATTCTAATATTTAAAGTTAAAAATTTAATTAATTAGTATTTATAAAAGCTTTAATTATACTTATAATTCTTTTTTTATTTTAAATATTTTAATATAATTTTAAATTATTTAATTAGTTATCTAATTAATTAGTTTTTAATTAATTAATAATTTAAATAATATTTTTTAAGTCTAATAATATATAAGCTTTCTCTATAGAATAATATTTTTATTTATAATAGTTTCTTATATTAAATATTCTAGGCCTAAATCTACTTTTTACTAGTTTTCGCTGTTTTGTAAATATAATTCCACAGCTCGTTCTTTCTTCCACGAAGCGATCAAGCTATATACTCTGGATAGCTCAGTTGGCAGAGCGATGGACTGTAATTGTTGTATTAGCCATCCACAGGTCGCGTGTTCAAATCACGCTCCGGAGACTTGATAACTTTTGATCTTTTGCATGAGAACTTTTTTCTCTTCCATTTAAATTAAATTCGCGGTTAGCTTTTGTAGATATATTCGCGGTCAGGTAAATTCGCGCTTAGCTTTTTAGCGAAAAACTTTTCTTTTTCTTATTTTCAAGGAAATGTATAATTGGCCTTTATAGTTTTATAGGAATATATTTTGTCTCCTGGTTTTAAGACTATTAAAGGGTAAGCACCTTAGTATGTAGATTTAAACGCCTAGATTTCTTGGTTGGAAAAGTGGCTGGTGCGTGAATTGTAGTCTGGGGAAGGGACAATGTGGTCATGTGCCGAATGTTCCAGGAAATAAGAGAACGCAGAGATTGATAAGATTGAGGCCATTGTATATACCTTTGAACTTCTCGTGAGAAGGTCTGATATGGACCTCGCTGGGCGGGACGTCCAGCCACGCAACGACAAGGCCAACCACGACGACAACGCACGCCCTTGCAGCGTCAGCCCAATGATGACCGCAGCTCTTCACACGAGCTTGACCAGACCAACCGTGAGCCAGAGCATGAGCAGCGGGTCGACAACACTCCTTAGAAACCCGAGGACAACGCAGGCCGCAATGATCAGAATCGGTCGACGATGCGGCGCAGCTCTCACCTGCGCTCTCTTTAATTGCGTGTGTGGGTTTTATATCCAAACGCTCGCTCTAATGGATGACTCCTTAGTCCTTGTTTTAAGACGGGTCACTGATAAACATTACACCAGCCACTCTATCGTGCGCAGGGGCAGGTGCAGCTGCCTTGGTTTGTACACATGTAACTACGGCACGGAATCGCGACGAAGTTCCAACTTAGAGCCTTCTATTAGTGCAGGTATCATAATGCAAATGCCAGTTGAATCACCCTTGTGTAAAGGGATGCATGTGCGATAGGCAGGTCCCTCATTGACAAGCTTATCAGCCTAAACGCTGCTTTTGGACAGCTTCAACTTTACTGCAGCCCCCCCCTGCGAAAACTTCCTGTCTCCCTGTCTTCAACCAGGCAACACTTACAAAAGTCAACATACTTCCACGTTTCATCTTATTCTCTCAGCCATGCGGACGTAGTCTCACAAGTCCAGTTAGGTTGCCCTATATTAAGGACAGCATCTGTTGAACTTTCCTTTGCCTCCAGAAATTTGGTAATTAAGCTACAGCGGGCTCTGCAGTGACGGGCTGCGACTTTTAAACATGTGGCGGTGTTACTGTAATAATGTATGTGATTGAGAATACGCTCAAAAGAATTTTCCAACACACAACCTGGTGAAGTCTAAGGGATCACTGGATTCCAAGGTTCTGTCTAGTGTTAATACCGTGTTTGCGGTAACCAACCAGCTTCCCACAACAGCCGAGTCGGGATACCGCCCCCGGAACTACATCACATGCATGACAGCGGCTTATCTACTGCTACCTGGATGGGAAAAGTACACCTCAGACCCATATCTTCCATAAAAGTTCTCATTGCGTGGACATCCCTCCCCTGTGGTGGTATGGTGCCTGTGACTATTCCACAATGGTTGATCTCTCTATCAGGATTGCGTCATAGTATGAAAGACGACTCTGTCTCCTGACGTGCAACCACACCGTCCCACAAACTGGACTCTCCCAGGGCTTTCTCAACCTTGTCAAGACTGTCCTCTTTTGGGCCATTATTATCGATCTGAAGTTTGTTAGTGATTTCAAGGATCGCATTCACGAGCGCGGAGGCAAGCAGCAGGAAGCAGCAGGACTAACTTGAATCAGGAGCGCGGCCTCCTGATAATGTTGCTCGATAGGCTGTCCATCCTCCAGGTACTCGGAATACCGCCTCTCAAACTTCACAGCGCTGTCGTTGTGATCACGGGCCCGGGAGAGATACCTCGTCTTCGCATTCTCTCTTGTTACGTTGAGCGATAGGACGACATCGGGCTTGGTGCTGCCCTCCTGAGTTGAATCGAGTCAGTCTTTTGGGTCCACAAAGATTTTTTACAGGCCGTCTCAACATACCAAACGAAGCCGTTCTTGAAAGGGCCAATTCGCCCACGAGTCGAGCTGCTCCTGGCATCTTGGAAAGCCGTCGATCAGGATTCCTTTGAGTCCATCTTGTTGGATTGCGTCTTCAATGGCGAGGCCCAGGATCGGGTTCAGTTCCGCAGACGTGAGGAACCCTTGGTGGTCGAGCTTGTCCCGGATGCGGGCCGCGAGGGGTGTCCCGCCGTTTGCCTGCATCCAGGTGCGCAGATTGTCTCCCACAGAGAAGTGTAGTAGACTGTACTTGCAGGCCAGGAAAGAACAGATCGTGCCTTTCCCCGAACCAGGTGCTCCTATGAAGATGGTCAGCAGGGTTCAACGTCTTCCAACAGGCACGGCCTGACCGAGAACGAATATCACTGCGAATTTCCGCCTCTTCGGCGAGGTCAGGGTAGAGGTATCCATGACGGTTACTGCAGTGTGTACTGTTTGTGTGGGGCCAGGAATGAGACGCATTCGAGGCTAAAGTATGGGAACAAGAGGAGGCGCAGCCTGCCTTGCTCTCAAGCTAGAAAAGGTCAAGTACGGCAGTCTGAGGCCGTCTGCACTAGCGGCAGAAGCGGCAGTGAATGGAGGCGTTCACACATGTAATTGATCGTTGCCTGAGGGTCTCAAGTCCAGTGAAAGGGATCTCGTTTTCTTTGCAAGGAAGTTTTTGTGCCGTGCCTTGGTGGATCACAGAGAGGTTCACTCTAAACAGCATAACTCTACCAAGTCTGTTCTTCTCCAGAACCCATTATCAGTGGCGTAACAGCATGATACAGAACAGGGTGCCTGGGACATTTTATACGTCAGCCAGTAGCCTGGAGGTAGTATCCTTTGAAATGGGCGACAGACAAAGGCCTGTGTTCTTCTTTCAGCTATTTTTTTCTTTCGCATGGCGATGAAACTTGATAATTCGAGATCAAGAGACGTTCTGCAGCATTCTAGGTATTTTGCTCATTCGAATTGTGGAATATTAACTTACGTCCCTGAAATGATGGGGGAATACCATCCAGGCCGGCATGAATGTTCATCGGGACCGAAGAGCTGACTTAATATATTATCAGGTAAGGACTCCAATGCGCGACAGAGCGTTATCTTACAATTTGACGGTCAGCAGCCACAAACACCCACGAGGTTACGCAAAAGCTTTCATTCCAGAGATACATTTTGTCATTCACAGCTCCAGATGGAAACAGCGCAGCGTAAGTTCGCATTTAGCTCTACACATCCTCGCCGTCATGTATCAGCAGGAGATGGAGAGCCTCCTCAAATGGCTACGTTCCAATGATTTTCGAAACCCCACGAAGCAGGAAAGGAAATCGATTGCCATGGAACTGGGCTGCAGTGAGGAGTGGGTCAGGAAACGAATCAAATCCCTACGCTACGAATTTGGCGAGACGAAGACCGAAGGTATCCTTCCTGACCAGGCATGTATCATCCAAGAGTGGTTTTCGTCGAACGACCAGCATCTCGATCCCTCAGATGATGAGTTAGAGGCTTTGCGACAAAAGACAGGCCTTAGTTCATCTCAAATCTCCAAATTCCTACAGAGAGAGCAACGCAAGTTCACAGCTAATCAGCCACACAACGGTCCGGACAGTACATATCGAAAGCGAAAGCGGACGGCCAAAGGCTCTGGGTACCGGGCTGCTCTTGAGGTCTGGGTCCAAGAACATGAAGGTCGCCTTTGGCAGAGCCCGGAGGAATACAGAGATCTGCTGCAGAGCTTATCTTGCTCAAAGACAGAGGTCATGAGCTGGTTCACTTACCGCCGCAAAAAAGCAAAACTCGAGCTTGGACATGCATTCGAAGATCCACGCGGCTTTATTGCCCGAAATGGGCGCAACGGAGATGACGAGATCCTCCGGGATTTTTTTATGGCCGTTCACTCAGGTGCAACTCCCTCTCTAGCGGGGCAAAACCTAGCGGCGAGCTTGACTGGACTTCCCATCGAATCAATTGCCGAACTCATCGATGCGAACAGAGAGAACCCTGACTACGCCAATGAAGTCAATATATACACGAACCGAGAGAGCAGCGACAGCGTTGACTTGGACGACGAGGCTGCGGATGAACATCAAAGCGGAAGTCTACCAGAAACTCCTACGGATACTGACCTCACCTTCAATGGCAACACAGTTTCTGCTGTTGCTCTAACAGATGTAGAGCCCTTCCATGCAGATGTTGTGGCCCCGTGTGATAGCCCAGAATTACACCCTGCCTTTCCCGAGCCTTTCATCAATTTTACGAACCTGGTTCTGGAGTCTCAGCGTTGTAATCGTCCATGGACAACGTCTGACGTCGAATTTGACATTGGTCGTTACATACCGAGATACCATGGTGTTCTTTCTCAACCTACTTCTCTCAGTAGGAAATTGACTTTCATCTTGAGTCATAGAATGATGGGATTTGTCATTCCTGAAGTTTTTTCTATCTGTCAACCCCAAAATTTGCAAAGCACTCGGAGGATCTGCGAGGAATTTGTTTTCCCGCACACTCCTTTCCCTCCGCTACAAGAGAATATGGAATCAAAAATCCTAGACTGCCAAAAGGGAGCCAAATATTTTTGTCTGTATTGCGACAAATCCTACAATACCGCATTTCGCCTTGCATATCATCTTCGACGACACACCAAGCCATTTTACTACTGCCCCATGAATTATTGCCGAGCGCATATCGGCGAGCTTCGCATGACTTTTACTCAGATATGGGCCCATACGGGCACACATCAAGAGAGAGGGGAGTTGACAACGGATGACTTGAATTGGATGCCGGGTTACGTCATCCGAAGCCATATCAATAGTTTGACCAAGAGAACACTGCTCGCCGCCAGGCCTGCGGAGACAGGCATCAATGGGTCATTACTATCGGACGCAGATACGGAACAATCAAGAACGTCTAAGAACAAATGGTACAGCATCCTCACTGGCTAGGCTATTGCTTTATGCTAGTCCAATGCAGGCGAGGCAGGTAGGATCTCTGAAGAGAT